GTCAACCACTTCGGCACAGTGCAATTTTTGTTTGGCCCGGAGCTCCACCGAAGGTCCCAATGGCGCCGTTCGCATGCGGTCCAGCCACCCATTTCGGCACACTCCTGAGCTCAACGGAAAGTCCCAGTGGCGCAGTTCGCATGCGATCCCGCCACCCATCTCGGCACACCCATCACACGTTTCGAAAGTCCCAATTGCGCAATTCGCATGCGGTCCCGCCACCCATCTCGGCACACACACACACACACACATCACACGCTTCATGGCCCCACAGCGAATTCCACCGAAGGTCCCAGTGGCGCAGTGCGCACGCGGTCCCGCCACCCATTTCGGCACACCTCTCACACGTTTCGTGGCCCCATACGGAGCTTCACAGACGGTCCCAATTGCGCAGTTCGTATGCGGTCGCGCCACCCATTTCGGCACATCCCTCACACGCTTGGGGGAGGTGCGAGGGGGAGAAGGAGGAGAAGGAGTAGGAGGAAAGACAAGGAGGGGAGGAGGAGAAGCGCCAGGGTGTGGTGTGTGTGTGGGGGGGGCACGCGAAAAGCTCGGCACCTCCACCACACAGGGGCTCAGACATTTCAAAGTGAAAGCTCCGACCTCCATTCTGGAAGTGGTGGGGTTCCTCCTTTGTGGGAGGACAACCCGTAGACGCCCCCTGCGAATTTCACAACGATCTTTCACGAAGGACGACAGCAAAGAAAGGTACGCATGCGGTACAGCCGGACCTAGGACAAAAGAACATCCTTCAAGAACATGGGACCGTCGGCCAGCTAGACTGAAGAACATTCGAGGGTACCTTCCCCCAGGATACACAATAACATCCAACACACACGAAGAGCATTAAGGTACCATCCCCGACCTCGATCTTGTACCTCGGCCCGACCGTACACAAAGCAATGATGACAACTTATATGGACGAATCGTCCGTGCAAATGATGGGGGAATGAAAACTCAAACTGAAATCTGAATCTGCCGACGGACTCAACTCACCAGGAGGCCACGTCCTGCCCGTTGCTTGATTGGGCCTTCATTAATCGCGGTCTCAAACCCAAACACCGACCAGAACAACTTGTTTGTCGTTTTCGTGTTGTTTTCGTTGTTCCTCGTTTTGTCTTCGTTCTGCCTTCGCTGCAAAACGAAACCACAACGAAAACGGTCCACGAAATCGCCCAAACACCGTTCAGGTCGAGCACTGCTGAAACCGGGTAACAATCCAAATCGGCATGTTCGCCCTATACCCGTCAGACCGCGAACCAACGGGGGCTTCCCTCGGACACTCGCGCTAACGTGCCGCGGGCCTAAGCCCTAAGGATGTTGCACGAGCTGCTGGTGCGTTTAACGTCGGTAGTTGTTGCTGGGTGACAGCAGCGACGAAAGGTACAAAAATGCGATACTGGCCGCCTGTCGGCGGCGCAAGACACTTGAGCTAAACAGTAATGGAACTCACGTCCCCCTCCCCTCCTCATCCTCCATCTCCTCAGAAAGGTGGAGCGAAGTTGAAGAGAAGGCGGAGCACACTGGGGAATTCACCCGCGGAGGAGCTCGTGAATGCGAGGGGACATATAGCCATGCGCGGGCGGCGCTACATGTTTGGCAAGATTGCTGTGACACTGATCGTTCCCAAGCAGACGTTTTCTTTTTATTCGGCGTTTCGATTTTGGGCGGGGGGGGGCGTCTGGCTCTGGACCTCTGCTGCATGCAACTGTTTGCAACAGTGCGTCCTGTGGGACAGACTCCACCTGCTCGAAACAGGCGCCAACAACACCCAAGATCTACTCCATGGGGGAGGGGAGGGGGTGCGAGGGCCCGCGCCGATCGGCAAACCAATGAATGAGAAAACGATCACCAACTGTCCCCCGGGCCCCAGTCCCACACGGGCCCCACGAGAAGTGCACCTAGGTTGCGAGGGGGTCCACGTGGGGGATCGCACGCAGGAGCCAGCGCAAGCCACAAGCAATCCTGCTGGTTTCACCCCCAGACTGGCGATCCCGCAGCCTCCTGGAAGGCAGCGAGGCGGCACGTTGGCGCCCCCGCGTGCCGCAGATCTCTGGCGTTGAGCTCGTGACTGCATCGATGCTGCGCGTGACGACACATTTTCATGGACTTTGCCCTAAGAACAATGATCGCCATCGTCATCTCATCATTACCACGATCATCACCAAAGACACTATCACCGTCATCATCGCCGCGGCCGTACTCGTCATCGTCATCATGCCGTCATCATCGCTATCCGCGACCGTGCACTATTGCCCGTTGAGGCGTGGTAGAGTGTCAAGGGCTGTCTGGTAGGGGTTCTGGAAGTCTGCTAAGGTCCACCCTCCTGCTGGCAACGCCCAGATGCCCGCACCGCCCCCCTCTCCCGAGGCCCGACGATTCCCGAGGGCCGTCCTAAGCTCTCCAGGGCTTCCAAGTCGGACTTGGAAGGCCGCCAAGACGGCGCCACATTGCCTCTGAAGGGGCACCCCATGGCACCCCACTGCCTCCAAGAAGAATCCAAGAGGCCCTCCTCCCTCCTCCCTCCTCCTACTCCCTCCTCCTACTCCCTCCTCCCTCCTCTCCTCCTCCTCCTCCCTCCTCCTCCTCCTCCTCCTCTTCCCCCTCCTCCTCCTCCTCCTCCTCCCCCTCCTCCTCCTCCTCCTCCTCCTCCTCCTCCTCCTCCTCCTCCTCCTCCTCCTCCTCCTCCTCCTCCTCCTCCTCCTCCTCCACGACACCAGAGAGCAGGCCAAGAGGCCCTCTGGGGAGGGCCCGCCTCGCTCAAGACCCCCCCGAGTGGGCTCCTCTCTCTGGGGCTTCCCGCTCGTCTGCACTGCCAGCGTCGCCAGCACCGTCTGCACCGGACCCCCCCCCAGCTCCCGTCGAGATGGTTGGCGCCCTCGCCTCACAGATAACCGCCGCAAGTCGTGCACGTCGCGCTCTAACTGCCCGCAGGGGGAGCAGCCTCCACAGCGGATCACGCTGCCTGTCACAACCTTCGGCACCTCGGCCTTGTTGGACCCAGAGCTCGACTCGCCGGCGGCCGCACCGCTCTCGGGTTGAGGCGCAGCCGCTGTGAAGGCACCCCGAGGCGGGTGAGCCACCGAGAACCGACGAGAACGTCCGCATTCCTCGAACCTCAAAACCCGAGACTATCCAAGACCCTTGCGGGCAGCTTTCGCTCCCGCGTCTGGCCCGCGCTCCCCAAAGCGCCCCCTCCTCGGAGGAGCGATCGGGGCTCATCGGGCACACCGACGCGCCCCCGACGTCGCATCGCCACCAGCAGCTCCGGACAAGCGAGCTCAGCGCAGGGCGGGCAGCACGGACAAGGGTCTCTCCCCATGGCGCCAGAGGCCACTCAGGGAGCGCAAAGCCCGAGGACAGGAGGAGGAGGAGGAGGAGGAGGAGGAGGAGGAGGAGGAAGAGAAGGAGGAGGAGGAGGAGGAGGAGGAGGAGGGCGGAGGAGGAGGGCGGAGGAGGGCGGGGGAGGGCGGAGGAGGAGGAGGAGGAGGAGGGCGGAGGAGGAGGAGGAGGAGGAGGAGGAGGAGGAGGAGGAGGGCGGAGGAGGAGGAGGAGGAAGAGGAGGAGGCCCAGAAAAAGCCCAGGATGCATCACCGATGCTGCAATGCACCCTCCCGTCCAAAAGCCCCCTCCTCACCCGGCCCGCCACAAGAAACCCTCCTCGCTGCAAGCAGCGCCCCCCAGGAGAGACCAGCGCCCCACAGACCTGCCAATTCGGGCGAGAACCCCGTGCTGAGAAGAAGCCGCCGTGCACCCCTCCCTCTGCAGGAACAGGATCAGGCATGCGAGGCCAGATGGTCACACAGAGCAGCGGGGTGGCCACAGGGATACCCGTTTGAAAAAGGGGGTCGCTCCCCATCTGTCCAACCGGTTGCTCAGGATTACAGCTCTGGCCATGAACCTCGAGGAGGTCTCAAGCGAAAACTTGATTATGAGAAGGAACGGTCATCCATCCATCCATCCGTGCAGCTGTTTGTATACGTTGAAGTGTTTGTGGATTGCAGGTAAATGTTGGTTCAAGAAGGGGTCCCATTTTGAAAAGTAACTTCCACCCATCCTTTGTTCTAACCTTGTTCGGCGAATGCGCGCGGCGGTAAAACGAGCACCGCCCGCCGTCCTTGTTTCAAAGCCTTTTCAGGCGAATGCGCGCGGTGCTCAGGCGAACGCTGCATCTTGAAAACGGTCCTCCCTCCACCCCAGTACACGGTGCAAACTTTCACGACGAATGTGCGCAGCGCTAGGCGGGAGCTCCATTTTGAAAACGTCCCCCTTCATCCTGGCATCTATTGCAAGGTTTGAAAGCGAATGTGCGCGGCGCTGCGGCGAGAGCTCCGATCTCAAAACGACCCCCTTTGCATTTTCATCAATGTGGTGTAAATTCAAGTTTCGGGATCATATTTTTTGATGCGATCTCAAGCGGAACGCCCGGCCCGCCCTGATGACACTTCGGGGGGCACGGTCGGAGGAAGAGGGGGAGGAGGTGGGTGGAGAGGCAAGGGGGCGGGAGGGGGAGACTGAGGGGGAGGCGAGAGAATGGAGGCTCCCGTCGTGATTTGTGATTCTTTCCTTTTCTCCCCGTTGCACAACGCGAGGAGGAGGAGGAGGAGGAGGAGGAGGAGGAGGAGGAGGAGGAGGAGGAGGAGAAGGAGGAGGGGGGAGGGGGGAGGGGGGCTGGCTCGTCAGCTCCTCTTGGTGGAGGCGTAGACGCGCTCGCCCACACTGTTCTTGTACTCGGCCACGCCCACCAGAGCTCCCGCCTCGGAGGCGGGGAGAACGGGACAGGACAGGTGGGGGGAGGGGCGGAAGCCGGCGTGGTTAAGGGAAGGAGCGTGGAGGAAGGCGGCTTCCCCGCGGAAGCGTGGGGCGGACTCCAACACTACCCATCGGTCGGAAGGAGTAGGTATAGAAACATGAAGGAGGAAGGCGTTGAACAAAAATTGGGTTCCGTCCGCCCCCTAGGGAGGACGGAAAAGGTGAAGCCACTCGATCATTGAAGTAGGAAAGCGCTTAAAGGGAATCCAAAAACACCAACTTTCGGCGACCGATGGGTAGACGCTCCAGGAAAAAACAGAAAAAATGACGCCGCGAAGACACTGTGACCAGAGCTGTCGACCAGAGCTTTACTCGTCGCTTCCCGAGTCCGGCCCATCCATGAGGGTCCCAGGGCCCAAACAAATCTGAAATGCTCGCCGCGCTCTCTTCACGACGCGCCGATGCGAGGTGAAGGAGGGACGAGGAGCAAGTGAGAAGCGAGAAGGCAAGGAACGACAGGTCGAAGAGGAAACGCCACGACGTGGAGAAAGCGACAAAGGCGAAGGGAAACGAGGAGGCGAGGAAGCGAGCAGGAGGGCCCAGCGCCACAGAAGACGTCGCCCCCCGACCCTCCCCGCGGCGAGCCGGGCCAGCCCCCGGAGCTGCCGGCGGCTACAGGGCGGACGACCGGCTCCCTGCAACCGCGCGCGGGCTCCATGGGAAGAGGAAGCTTTCACGTGCAGCGATGTGCCACGCAGGCACAACAGACTTTGAACCGGGCACGTCCTCCTACAGGCGGATGTTGGAGGAGAAAAGTCAAGATGCCTCAAAAATGCCCCAACATGTTCGAAAGTCAGAAAAAACCCAATCAGTGGATGGTTTTCGCTGAAAAGATCGACCGGGAACCCCGGAGCTCAGGAACCCACAACCCACCGAACTCGGCCCGGAACCCATAACCGGGAATCTGGCAACCCAGAACCAGGGACCCAGGAACCCAGCCTGCTACCAAAATCGGGGCGCGCATGGGCCACGGCTTGCGGCGGAGAGAGCCTGCGGGGTGGCCGCTCCGAACACCTAAGAGACCTCCTAGATGGGGTCCGAGTAGAGTCAAGCCGTATGGTAAGGATGCGCGATACAGATGCAAGGGCCTTGGAGGGCCGTTTCGATGCTTTTCGAGTGGGCCGCGGCCAACGGAAGTGGCGAAGGATGGACCGAGGAGGCAAGGATGCAAGGGTACCCCTGGGAAGGTTGCCCATCCCTACTGTGCGGGTTGACTGTACGTAGATGGGGTCGAAGAAACGCGCAGCATCGCCAATGCATCGCCGATGCATCGGCGATGCATCGGCGAGGCGTCGGCGACGTCGGCAGTGCATCGGCGACGCCGGCGCGGAAAAGCACGGTCTCCACATCGAGCCGCCTCGTCGACGCATCGTCGATGCATCGGCGATGCGGACCGATCCTCCGACCCCATCTGCTCGGACCCCATATGGGAGGCTCAGAGCACTGGCTCCCGGGCGGGAGATCTCGGCCGGGCCTCCTGCTCTCCAGGCAGGCCTGGCGGGTGCAGGGGGGGAGACAGCCTGCGACGGCTGCTGGCCTCGCGAGCGGCGATAACCTCCGCGCGGAGAGCCAGACAGAGCCGGGAGCCCGCTGTCTTCCATCCGGGCAATCTGGAGGGCGTGCTGGATGCGGATCCCTGACATCATGGACTCGAGGGCGGGGCTCAACCCTGAACAATCGAGAGTCACCTGCAAACAGGGCCCTCACCTCTGACAGCGAACATCGCGCCTCTGCTTGCCACAGTGCATGGCAAGAACGCGGGGGTTCAGGGCTTCGGGGGAGAGGGGCTTCGCCGGCCCCGCGCGGAGCCGACCAACCTCCCCTAAGTCCCCGGACGAGGGCCACCCCCCAAGCACCTGCCCAATCCCGCGAACAAGGGCGGCAGATGACGCGAGCGCAACTCTGAATTCATCTGCTCTGGCATTGCTTCAAGCTGCAACCGTGGGCAGCCTGGCCAGCGCGATAGTCGGAGCAACGGCCGCCCCTGCAGAGAACCTCGAGCTCCTCGGCGGGGAGCTGGTCTGCGCCCCGGCGGGCCTCGACCATGGAGAAGGGCGGGGGCCCAACGGGGGGGGGCCGAGCGACTTCCCTCCCGATGCGGGCCTGTGGGTGGGCCCCCGACGGGGCCCACCAATGCCGGCCCAGGGCTCTGGACGGGTTAGCCAGAAAATGCCCCAAAATGATCAAGAATGGTTAAAACATCGTCCCCGCACAATTTCTTGACTACTTTTGAAGATTCCTCCTGTCGAGGGACATGCCCGACTTAACGCTGGCCCTGGTTTTCGCTGTGGAAGAAGCGCCGCTCGACGGATGCACGCTGCCAGGGACGGGGCGCCCTGCTGCCCCCCTGGCAGGGTCTCCGCTTTCGCTGACCTGCACCACGCTAACCCCCGCGCGGGGGAGGTGGCTGATCTGAGGGGTGGAGGGTTTCTTCGAAGGGCTTAGGCGACCCGTCCTCCTCCTCCTCCTCCTCCTGGCTGCTCTGAGGGGAGAGGCTGAACCCGCCAGAGGCAAGGAAGACGCGAACTTCGCGTCTCGTCGCACGGGGCCAACTCGTCGCACGGGGCAAATCTGGGCCAAGGACCACATGCCCTGCCAGTCCGACGCAGGCGGCTCGCAAACGTCGCGCCCGCGCGGGGAAGCCGCGCTGCGTCAAGGGGCACGGCCGCCAGCCCGTCGGCCAGGGCTTGGTCGATCATCTCCTTCGGAAAACTTCCGCTCGAGTGGCAATGGCTCTGGGGCAGGCGCTCTCCCGCGCGCGGTGCCAATCGGCGTCTGGCCCGCCGCGTCTGCCGCAAACTCCTGCGGCCTGATGGTCCTACTTCTGGAGGGCGGCACCGGTCAGGAGGAGCCCCGTGGAGGGAAAAAAGAGAACTGCTCAAGTCCGACCTTGCCGAAGCGGTTCCAATCACCTTCAGAGGGCGCGTGCAAATTACGCGCAGCCCCCCGCCAGAGACCCCTAGACTCGAGGTCCGAGGTGTCGAAATCAGATGTACTGCAAAGTTTGCGAACCTGCTTCTGGACGAGGGTGCCCTTAAGCTGGGAACTGAAAATATGGGCAACAGCGGAGGGCCCCTTCCGCAGGGTTGAGAGGACTTCCGCAGGGTTGAGAGGAGACCCGCGACGATCCAAAAAGACCCCTGCACGAACGCGCCCACGCCCAGCGGTTCCCAACCAGAGATACACGGCCGAAATGGGCCCCTTTTGTCATGGAAAACAATTTCTTCCCCTTCGTAGAGTCGAGACGGGTTCTAGCAGCATGGTAGGATCGGGACGGGACGACGACCAGAATTAGATCTCGGTGTGCAAGTTCGTCTTGGTGCATCGCTGTGGCCATCCACCACTCCTGCGCAAGTCTCTGTAAACACTTTGCGGCAGTGTTAATCTTAGGTCGGGCATGTCCTCCTACAGGCGGATTTTGGATCCAAAATGAACAAAAAAATATTCAAGCATGATCCATAATAGGCAGAAGAATCGTCCCCAGACTATTTTTCACTATTTCTAAATATTCCTCCTGTAGAGGGACACGCCCGACTTAATGTTAATCGGGTCAGCATACTTCGTGAACCTCCAGCGGAGGTCGAATTCGGCCCCTTTGAGCAAGGCATCCGTGCACCTGCCTGCTTAAGATCTGACCATGGCGATCTGGAGGGGGATGAGCGCGTGGACGTCCGCCCCGCAGGTGCAACTCTGGAACCCCGCGGTTTCCCCACTTTGGGAGTCAAACACCAAATCTTCAAACTGAGAAATTTGTCCCATGGCCTTCGGGACCCCCGCCACTGAACCGCCACCAAGGCCAGGAGATCACGGCAGGCTGCGGAATACAAATGTGCCTGACATGACGCGGCGTGGTCTGACTGCGATCGCAAAACCAACGCACTGCATAAACATAGGCAGTCGGAGGACCGCGCGGATTTCTGGGGTCGGTGCCTAATCCCTCCCCGCGACAGCTCCCTGCCGAGCGGAGCGTAGCAAAACCAACGTACTGCACAAACATGGACCGTCGGAGGACTGCGCGGACTCCTTAGATCGGTGCCGAATCCCTCTCCCCGCGCCGGTCCCCTGGCGAGCGGGGCGCGCCAGCAGCGGTGCCAGATGCGCCGCCCCGGGGGGGCGAGGGGGGGCCAGCGCCGATCTAAGACACCTTCGGTGGCAACTCACGGGAGCCTCCCATACCATCTCGTCGGATCTTGCCAATCGACGCTACTCAACGCTCGTCGACGCTAATCGACGCCTAATCGACGCCATGCGACGCTAGCCGACGCTAAATCGGCGCTATCTCGTCGACTCCCAGACGCCAGTCGACGCTGATCTACGCTAAACGCAGAATTAACTAAGAGGGTATGCCAGGCTCCCTTGACTTGCTGATTACCGAAGGAACACACGCGGCAATCGCGCATCTCTGCTGTGATGGCGAACTTCTTGATTTCGCCCGGCGAGGGTCGGGATCCACGCCCTGCGAGCGCTGCGGGCCTTCGGCCTCTCCTGGGAGCGCGGGCGGTCGCCCACCCCCCGAGTGGGTCGGGGACCACCCCAAGAAACGTCCGAGCTGACTGCCCACATAACAAAAAGACCATCCGAATCTGTCGCTGCCCGTCTTGACGACGAGTCTTGTTTTTGGCCTCTCGATGGTAGTACGCCTGATTGCCACTGGATGCCCTGGCCATCGGGGTGGCCAGCGGATGGAGCCGCCTGCGTTCGGCTCTCTGGGGGCCCTGGGGGCTCAGGAGGCTCGATCTCCGTCCCGGAAACTGCTCTCCCCGCTCTGGACGCTGGGAGGTGCTCTGGCCTCTGGGGGACGCGTGGCTGTCGCACATGTAGTGGGTACTCGTTGTGGCTCCTGGCCCCCGGCCCTTCTCTAGAAGAAGAAAAATAGGGGGCAGAAAATCCACCCCGATAATAACCACCCCGACACGCGAGGCCTTTAGTAAACGCGCCCAAAGAAGGAATCGAACAGGACACGGCCGTTTAGTAAACGCCCAGAGCCGTTTAGTAAACGCCAATTGTCCGGTCCAGGTGGTTTTTCCTCCCTTGAAAAAGACGCCATAAACTTGGATCTGCGCTGGGCCCCCCCAGCGGCGCCTCCGGCGCCGCCCCTGGCGCGCTCCGCGCGCCAGGGAGCGGGGCCGCTCCGCGCGGATCCAAAAAATCCGCGCGGAGCGCCAAAAGTTTAATTTTATGGCATTTCTTCTTCTTCGAGCACTGGCGTGCAGAAGAGAGCGTGAAAGCGGATGCACGCGGAAGAGGCCGACGTGCATGCAGTGCAGTGGAAAGAAACAAGGGAGGCGCGCACAGTGGTGAATGCCGCAGCCCGACGATAAACACACGCACGCACGCACACATCCCCAGGCCCCCGACGTCGTGATTTCTTCTCAACGCCGACCCCTAGAAGTCTCTGGACCCCTTCCCCGGGGACGGCTTCTCGTCCTGACTCGATCGTTGACAGCCCCGAGGCCCAGCAAGACGCCCCGCGAGGCCGAAAGTAGCGAGAAAACTCCCACCGTGATTTTTTCACTACGCGAGCGGGTCTGGGATTCGGCCAAAACACCTCCCGAGGATCCCTCGGGTGTGTACAAGAGGGGCGCGTCTAAGAGGAGGGGGCGCAAATCATGGCCGGCGGCATGTGCGCGGCCCAGGGGGGGGGGGACGTATTGAAATCGGAGGTTGGGGGGTGAGATCGCAGTGAAATGGAGACCTTCTACCGGGAAATCGGTTTCGGTTTCGTGTTCGTGTCGTGCGTGCGGGCGAGGCGAAGCTGCGCGTGATCCTCCTGTAGCTAGGCCGAAGTAGGAGCGAAAGTCCGTTCCCGTCCGCCGGTGGCTGGGAGATGTCCCAGTTGGGCTGGGCGGTGTCCGGGGTGTCCCGGGTGTCAGTAGGAGCGAAAGTCCGCTTCCCGTCCGCCGGTGGCCGGGAGGTGTCGGTGTCCTGGGTGTCCCGGGCGTCCCGGCGCTAACGCATGTCGCTAATTTCATAATTCATTTTTGTCGGCGCCTGCGGCGGGCTTTCTTATCCAATCCAGCTTATCTTATCCAATCCATCTTGTCCAATCCAAATCCATCTCGTCTTATCCAACCCATCTTGTCCCACCTTATCTTATCCCACCCAATCCAATCCACCCAACCCAATCCATCAATTCATTTGTTTCTGCGCCTGCGGCGGGCAAATCCAATCCATCTTATCTTATCAAATCCATTTCTTCCAATCCAACCCATCTTATCTGATCCAATCCATCTTAACTATCCCATCCAATCCAATCCACCCAACCCAATCCATCAATTCATTTTTGTCGGCGCCTGCGGCGGGCTTTCTTATCCAATCCAGCTTATCTTATCCAATCCATCTTGACCAATCCAATACATCTTGTCTTATCCAACCCATCTTGCCCCATCTTATCTTATCCCACCCAACCCAATCCATCAAATCATTTGTTTCTGAGCCCGCGGCAGGCAAATCCACTCCATCTTATCTGATCCTATCCATGTCTTCCAATCCAACCCATCTTATCTGATCCAATCCATCTTATTCCATCCAATCCAATCCACCCAACCCAATCCATCAATTCATGTTTGTCGGCGCCTGCGGCGGGCTTTCTTATCCAATCCAGCTTATCTGATCAAATCCATCTTGTCCAATCCAATACATCTTATCTTATCCAACCCATCTTGTCCCATCTTATCTTATCCCACTCAATCCAATCCAGAGAGACACAGAGAGAGAGAGAGAGACAGAGAGAAAGAAAAAGATGAGATCAAGGTGACAGGCTGGAGGTCAGTCAGGGTGGGCATTTGATCTCAATCCCCCCCAACCTCCTTATCACCCGCAGGGCGGTTGTATAGGTAAGAGAAGAGGCCCAATATGAAATCTGGGGAGACACCATGGCCCCCGCCATGATGTCCCCCCCCCCCCCTTACACGGGAGCCTCACAGATCGGTCTGGCTCGAACATGACGCAGAAAAGATGGGGTTCAGGGGTCTGGGCGTGCTTTTCTGCGATGTTGCAATTGATTGTCCACGTTGGATCTCTAGAGGAACAAAGAACCAGGAAACACACAAACTTTTAGAGGTCCGCGCGGATTTCTTGGATCCGCGCTGGACCCCACTCCCGGGCGCGCGGAGCGCGCCAGGGGCGGCGCCGGAGGTGCCGCTGGGGGAGGCCAGCGCAGATCAAAGAAATCCGCGCGGAGCGCCAAGAGTTTATGCTTAGGTCGGGCATGTCCTCCGACAGGCGGAATTTGGAAGATAAATGAAAACTGCCAGAAGATACTTATCCAGAACAATCAAAAGTAGTCGAAAAATAGCCCCGGACTATTTTTGGACTATTTTTGATATTCCTCCTGCAGAGGGAAGTGCCCGACTTCAGTTTATGCTTACGTGGTTTCTTTCTTCTTCCAATCTCAAGGTCTTGGCCGCCCCAGGGAGCGTCGATCCTCCCCGCGCCGCCCAGGGATAGACAAGCGCGTTCCACTGCGCGCAAAATAACTGCTCGCAAATGGCCCGGATCCGCCGAGGATTTGCGATACGCTACATCGAGCCAGACGTTGACGTTTGTTTTTAGGGCCTTTTGCGATTAGACACTTTGCGAGTAGTGGAACGCGCTCGGTGAAGGGAGCCAGCCGCCCGCGGCGGCGGCGCCTTCATCGTGGACTCCGTGGTCATGCCGGCGACCCCCGGCGCGCCGAAGCGGTGCCCCTCGCCGAGGCGCGCGCGCCAGCGCCCGGGAGGGAGGGTAAGCCGCGGGGCGGGGAGCCCCCGCGAAGCGGGGGGGAGGCGCGAGGAGACGCTCATCCTCCCTCCTCCCTCCTCCTCCTCCCCCACCTCCTCCTTTTCCTCCTCCTTCTCCTCCTCCTCCACCCCCTCCACCTGCTCCTCCTCCTCCTCCTCCTCCTCCTCCTCCTCCTCCTCCCTCCCTCCTCCTACTCCTACTCCTCCTCCTCTCCTCCCTCCTCCTACTCCTCTCCTCCTCCTCCCCTCCTCCTCCTCTCCCTTCCTCCCCGCCTGCTCCTCCTCCACACCTCTGCTCCTCCTCCTCCTCCTCCTCCTCCTTCCTCCTCCTCCTCCTACCTCCTCCTCCTCCCTCTCCCATCCTCCTTCTCTCCCTCCTCCTCCCTCCTCCTCCCTCCTCCTCCCTCCTCCTGGTACTTGCTGTGGTCTCGTGCGTCGGAGAGCCTTGCGTTGGGAATGTGTGTGTGTGTGGATTATGAGCATGATACGGTACAGTATATGGGCCGAGGGGATCTCATGAGCACGAGGGTCACTACGCTGGGTGGTAATAGTGGGAATAATGCCTATTCCGATCCTATGTTGTGCTTTTGGTCTCATCTCTCTCAGCTATACGAACTACGTGTTGCTCTCACGCACAACCATGGTGAGATGGCTCGCGACCTTGCTCGGCGAGTCTCCTTTTTGGGGCAGCATGTGGAGAAGTATTCGTCGTGCCTCCCTGCCTCGCAGAACCCCCAGGCGTGGCGGGCTCAGCTGTCCCAGATGGAGTCTGGAAGTTCGGCGTTCAGCCCCGATCTTTGCGATGTTCTAGTCTTCGAGTGCTCGGCTGCGCTCGGTCAGGCCTGGTCTGCTGCTCGTGCTGAGACTGAGACTGGCTGATTAAACCGCTGCCACGAGGAGCGAAGAGTGCTCACCAATGGCTTCGAACGGAGGAAGGGGACCGGCTGGAGTTTTTTCGGGCCCCTTTGTGGGGTTCTGGCGAGATGATGGCCTATCGGGCCCAGCTTTGGGGAGGGTTTTGGACCTCGGGGCCTGATCAAACTAAGGAACTTGACGCTGCCATGAGTGAGCTTCGTCGGCATGCTAAGGAAGTTCAGCCTGAGCTCCCCGACATCGAATGTAGAGATGTCTTTGCTGCCAGCAGGATTTTCTCCGAGGATACGGCCGTGGGAGTTGACCACTGGCGGCCGCGGGACCTGATGGGGGCTCAGCCTGATGCCATCAAAGCTCTTGTCCAACTTTACAGGTCTTGCGAGGAGGCCCTCATGTGGCCCGAGCAGATTTTTGTTCATTGTTATTGCCTTCCCCCCCAAAAGCAAAACCGATGAACGGCCTGTTTGTAAATGCCCTACCCTGTATCGGGTTTATACCAAAATCCGCGGGACCTTCCTGGATGTTTGGAGTAGAGATCACGCGGCGTTTTGGGACACCGCGATCAGGGGGAGCTCGGCTTTGCAAGCTGCTTTGCGGCGCGAGGTGTCTCATGAGCTGGCGGCCTTTGAAGGCCAAGTTTCCGTCGGCGTTCACTGGGGCCTGCGCAAGTTGTTTGACACTGTCTCCCCCATCCTGCTGATAAGGCTCGGGTGCAACCTGCAGTTCCCTCCCCACCTCATGTACATGGGTTTACTGATTCATGTTTCCCCAAGAGGGCACTGTTCTCAGGTGATCCCAGAGTATGCCATGGACTAAAGCGTATATGTCAGATTCTGGCTGGTACTCATAATAGGTACTTCCCTTCTGTCATCACTCAGGGATCTGTTGACGACCTCTCCCAGACCTCTCATGGCAGCGCCGATAAAGTTGTCAGCGCTATTGTTCCAGCAGCTCTGCACGTTGCGCATGGAGTTGATTGTGTGCGGCTGACCCTGTCAGACAAGTCGGCGATTGTCAGCAGTAGGCGTGCAGTCAGTCTCCGCATTGCCCACCAGCTTCGGGCTGTTGGCGTTCGCTTGCGCGTGCAAGATACTGTTCGTGACCTTGGAGTTGCTGCCTCTGCTGGCAAACGGAGGTCTACCATGATTCTAAAGGTGAGGAGTGCTAAGGCCAGTCGTAGGGCTAAGGAGGCGCAGTATTTGACGGGGATGTGTTAAAGGGACCTCGAAACTTAACAAGCCTGGTGTGCTGTCTGTTTCGTCTTGGGGTCATGCGGTCCTGAGGCTGACTCCGCATCAGGTTCGGTTGGCCCGAGCGCGGGCCGCCAAATGTTCGGGATGGTGGAGCCCTGGGCCCTGTGCTACTACGTTGCTGCCTGTGGCCAGGCCGAGTCTGCGGATCCTGCATATAGGCTTCGTCGAGAATAGCTCCTTGTGTTCCAGCAGTTGTGGCTCGATATGGGGCCCAAGGCTAAGATGCGCACCGCTCAGTTATGGAAGGCTCGTGCTGAAGAATTTGCTTGTCTTGCGCCAGGGCGCGTTTGGCGCCGTGTCCGTGGGCCTGTTGCTGCTACTGTCGCTGTCGTGGTTGACCTCAGCTGGCAGCCGTTGTCTCCGACGAAGCGGATTGTGCCTGACGGCTCCGCCTTGCACGTTGACCCCCCTGATTTCCCTGTCCAGTTGTGGAAGCAGCTTAAGGTTACTTTGCATAAGGCAGCGTGGGGAACTGCTGCCCAACACTATCTCGGGGTGGAATTGAAGATGGCGTGGATTTCACGAGTGTGCGTTCCCTCTTATCTAAAATGGGGAAGGATGTTGACTATGCGGGGCAAGGCATCTTGAGGAATAATCTGGCGGGGAGCTTCTGGACCAAATCTCGCTTGCATGATTATCCCAGTGCGACCCTACCTAGGAGTTGGAGCATTCAGGAAAGCAACAGCTAAGCTAAGCTAAGCTAAGCTAAGATGGGGCTAAGCTAAGCTAAGCTAAGCTAAGCTAAGCTAAGCTAAGCGAAGCGAAGCGAAGCTAAGCTAAGCTAAGCGAAGCGAAGCGAAGCTAAGCTAAGCTAAGCTAAGCTAAGCTGGGCTAGGCAAAGCTAAGCTAAGCTAAGCTGAGCTGAGCTAAGCTAAGCTAAGCTAGGCTAGGCTAGGCAAAGCTAAGCTAAGCTAAGCTAAGCTAAGCTAAGCTAAGCTAAGCTAAGCTAAGCTAAGCTAAGCTAAGCTAAGCTAAGCTAAGCTAAGCTAAGCTAAGCTAAGCTAAGCTAAAGCTAAGCGAAGCTAAGCTCAGGGTAAGTTAAGCTAAGCTAAGCTGGGCTAGGCAAAGCTAAGCTAAGCTAAGCTGAGCTGAGCTAAGCTAAGCTAAGCTAGGCTAGGCTAGGCTAGGCTAGGCAAAGCTAAGCTAAGCTAAGCTAAGCTAAGCTAAGCTAAGCTAAGCTAAGCTAAGCTAAGCTAAGCTAAGCTAAGCTAAGCTAAGCTAAGCTAAGCTAAGCTAAAGCTAAGCGAAGCTAAGCTCAGGGTAAGTTAAGCTAAGCTAAGCTGGGCTAGGCAAAGCTAAGCTAAGCTAAGCTGAGCTGAGCTAAGCTAAGCTAAGCTAGGCTAGGCTAGGCAAAGCTAAGCTAAGCTAAGCTAAGCTAAGCTAAGCTAAGCTAAGCTAAGCTAAGCTAAGCTAAGCTAAGCTAAGCTAAGCTAAGCTAAGCTAAGCTAAGCTAAAGCTAAGCGAAGCTAAGCTCAGGGTAAGTTAAGCTAAGCTAAGCTGGGCTAGGCAAAGCTAAGCTAAGCTAAGCTGAGCTGAGCTAAGCTAAGCTAAGCTAGGCTAGGCTAGGCTAAGCTAAGCTAAGCTAAGCTAAGCTAAGCTAAGCTAAGCTAAGCTAAGCTAAGCTAAGCTAAGCTAAGCTAAGCTAAGCTAAGCTAAGCTAAGCTAAGCTAAGCTAAGCTAAGCTAAAGCTAAGCGAAGCTAAGCTCAGGGTAAGTTAAGCTAAGCTAAGCTCGGGGAACCCAGGGGGCGCAACTGGGGGAACCAGGGGGGCGCAACCGGGGGAACCGCCCGGGGTGGGTAGCATTGCCCGCCCCCTTTAGCAAAGAAAGTAAGAACCCTTCTAGGCAGAGCCTAGGTAGGGAAAAATGGGCATGACACGGAATACCAGGGACTTTGTCGGCGATGTGGTCTGGAAGTCGAACCCCCTCTCCACCGTTTCTGGCAGTGCCCGTGCAATGCTGATATTCCCTCTGCAGCTGTTCTTCGTACCCAGCCTCTCTGTGCTCGAGCGCTTGAAGAGGCTGATTCATGTCCTTTCTTGTGGCGTCGCGGGCTCATGCCTAAATCTAGGTCGATCGGTCATTTGCCCCCGCCTACCGATCAAGTCTGGCCCTGGGGATCTCTCGGCGAGGGTCGTGCCCCAGGAGGTATGTTCGGGATCGACGGGTCGGGGGGGCATCGCACTAAGGACTGGAGACTAAGGCGGTGCGGATGGGCATGTGCCCGCTTAGGCCCCTCCCTCACCGACGTGGATGGCTTCCTCGTTGGTACCCTCCCTGGTGAGGTTCAGAGCTCTCAGAGGGCTGAGCTGCTGGCGTTGGTCATGTTGCTTCGTCATACTGAGGGGAGAGTGCTCATATTCTCTGATTATTACCTACCTGTTGTGCAAGGTGTTCGCAAAGCACCGGTATTATTACAGAAATCGGATATGTTAGACCTCTGGCTGGAGATTTGGAATATCCTGGAGGAGAGGGAGGGGGAAGTTGAACTTAGGTGGACTAAGTCGCATCCGACGGTGCGAGAGGTTGCTGCGCTCGGGTTGACCAGGATTGAACGGCTCTTGAACTCGGTGGCCGACGGACTTGCTAACGAGGCGGCAGCCCGCGGCAGTACCCCAGTCTCCCTCATCGAACGCACCCGCCGAGAGGACCACCTCCATCGTGACATTTCAAGTAGGTTGATTGCCATCCAGCGTGAAGTGTCCATGACTTGTGCACGTGAGCGCACGCGTGTTGGGCATGATCGTGCGCGGGTTCGTGGGCCTGGGACTAACATGCGCACGCGCGTGGAGCGGGCGCGCGAGCAACAGCGCAGTCCCGCGGTCCTCCGAACTTGGATCAA